CAAGCCCAGGAGATGATGAGGTGCTTTGGAGTGGGTGAATCGCTCCTCATAAATATGTACGAAAACCCGTTTTTGCTCAGAGAAATTTGCCTAGGCTCGTGAAATATTTTCATCCCGGGCTCACAAATGTTTATTCGCACCACCCAACACTGAATGCCGTTCAGCATCTGAAAAATCCAATAGAAACGAAACTCATAGCATTCCATGACTTCAAAGGCTCTTCTGCAAAATTGGGTTTACCATAACCCGCACGAACTACCAATGCCTTCCCTGGGAAGACTCGACAATTATTCCACAGATTGCGGAAGCGCTTTTGTTCATATCTCAATACACACTCAATTCGAGAGGGATCTTCCGGTAAAGGGGAGGGGGACATCTGCCGTAATGATTTGTGCCGTCCATAGGTAATTTTTTGCAGGGGAAGGAAACTCCTGGCTGCGTGTGAAAGTAAAAGCGAATTAATCCACGCACTCTGAAGCCCTTCCTCAGCGAAAAATTGGATTACTACGACGGTTTGTCTATCGCAATGACCCCTTCTCTTACTGCTAGGGTGCTTTCTAAAGCATACTAGGTACTATGCGGATCGAGCTTGATGATCTGGCAGCCATAGCTAATTCCTCTCCCTCTGCAGCAGTCAAAGTAGTAGCGTGAAAAAGCGTCTCAATGAAGAAAAGGATCGGGGCTTCGACTAGTATGGGGGTCCTGTGACTTCCCGTACCTTTTGAGGCTCCCTCCTCTTCCCCTCACGATCAGTCCTAGGACAGCATTAAAGGGGAGATGTTTTCCGGACAGTAGTGCAAATGAAGTCATATGATAAGAACCAGTGAACATAAAACCTTAGCGATCATGCGCAAAGTCTTCCATCTTTGATAGTTGCAGTTGACTTGCAAGAATGCAACTCGGGAGAATTCGAGTTTTGGATGCTCTTCGTGGAATAGAAAACAAAAGAAGCCTTATATTCGTCTGTTCTACACTTTACAATACTTGAAAACTAAAACTCTAACAAGGTATTACCTGAGCAGTGATTTCGATGATGCGATCTTCGATAGCGTATCGTACACTATTGAACTCTTCAGATACCATGCTCACGATATCAATACCTTCCGCGTCACCTGATTGAGCCCTGGCAGATGCAATATCGCTGAGTTTCGATAAAGCTGGCTCATGACTTTTTAATTCATCTCTTGCTTTCAGCAGCATCGAAGAATCGCAGGATTTATTATCAAGAACCGCTTCAGCAGAATTTGTAGCCGCTTTAATGTCTTCAACAAGTTTGTCAAAAATATCAGATGATGCTGCGAGTGGTGCTTCCGTTTTAGAGGCTTCAGTGACTGAGACGCCGGAACCCGGCATCTGAAAATAATCTAATTGTTTACAAATATCATTCAAATACTAACTTATAGCAGGCATGGGGAGCAAAATCAAGGAAACGAAGCACAGTGGAATAATTGTAGGAAATATTAAAGGAAGCGGTCACGCTGGCTTCCACGCTGGATTTGCTACCCTCGCGTTATCAATCGATAAGGTGTGAGGCAGTAATTGTTGGACGAGTGTAAGCCCATGGAAGATATGATACGATGAGATAAGAAGGTGCGGCTGCTTGATAAGAGGTGCACTCCAGAATGAAAACGGGACGATAACGATAACGGTATCATATCTAGCACGCTCTTATCGCACCCCTTTCCACATCGATAAGTCTTGGTTTTTGCTGAACGGAAGTGGATTTCGGCGCCTTATCACTCCGTTGATAAGGCGCCACTGCCACTGAAACTTCACGTGTTCTAACATTGGGCAGGACCCCTATCCACTCCAGTACACAGCTTTCCTTATCGTTCCCATGAAAATTATCGTGACCACTTCCTTTAAACCATACCGCATTCATAAGCAATACA